GTATCCGACTGGTGACCACCTGAATATAATAATTTCATTATTACCATTCATATCGCTATCAATATTAATATTATTATTGGCACTATTGTTCTTATTAATAAATTATTTTAAAAAACTTGAATCTTTATTTACTAATAATGAAACTACCTATTATATACTGAATTACTCTATCACATGTTCGAACTGAATGACATTATCAAAGGAATTTGCAAAGTATCAAATGTTGTGTGAAAATATGTTCATAACAAATATCAGCAGCAAAAACAATAAAAATAATTTCAAAAAATTCTGTGAGCAACAAGTAAGACTGATAAATAAAGGAATAAAAAACTGACATTTACAAGTGTCATGAAAAGTCGGCAATTGTGGTGGTTCGAGGTTAGGTTGTGATCGTTTTTGTGCATCGATATGATCGATTATTTCGCTTTGGAATCGCGTTTGAAGCTTTTGCAAATCTTTTGTCGCGTATTGCTCTCCTCGTAGATTCTACACTAATATCCAAATTAATCACAGTAATTAACATAATCAAAACAATAAAAATAATGATAAAAATATTAATAATAACAATAACAATAACTAAAAATCTACCAACCCTCGCATAAAATCGNNNNTTGCAAATCTTTTGTCGCGTATTGCTCTCCTCGTAGATTCTACACTAATATCCAAATTAATCACCGTAATTAACATAATCAAAATTGAATAAAAATAATGATAAAAACAATAATAATAGCAATAACAATAACTAAAAATCGACCAACCCTCGCATAAAATCGCCCGGCAGCAAGGGTTTGTGTCCAACCAATCTCCTCCTTGCCTCGTTCATCCGTAGTCCCATTTCCCTGCCCGTCCGCATCGTCATCACTGAACGACGAGTAATCATCAATCAAATCCTCAGCAGTCAATCGCTCCCATTTCGGCACCACTCGTTCCTCATTCAGCATACCTGCCATTGTCATCATATCAAATCATGTAACACAATATAAACACTCATCCCCATCAGCTACTTCAATCGAATACTCCCTCATTCACGCTTATTTACACAATTCTACTTCTCCAAATAGCTGATTCCCCCTCTTTCATTAATTCCTCTAAACTTTCACCCGCATTCCACATTTTCAATTGCGGTTCACACTGACACATATTTCCATCAATATATCAATACCGTTCATTCCTACTGCATATGACAGGTCCTATAAATCCGAATATATATCCTAACCCAGCTCTACAACTGTTCTCAAAATTTCTCTTCCTCCCTCCTTAGCGGCTTCCAAGAGGCAATCTTCCTTTTCAACTGATTTCTTCCCTTCCCCTACGAAGACGCTAAATTGTATATTCTCTGGGAAACGTATTCAAAATTTAACGGTATTTCTTCTCATCCCATCACCTCGCCCACTGCAATCAACCAATTAATCAGCTCAATTCACTCACCATTTTCATCCGAATCCGTGTCTGAATTTGAATCGGAATCAATTTTATCATTATCCTTAACATTTTTAACAGTAAAATGAGACGAGCTGTCGACACGTCCCTTTTTGCGATCCTTTTTCCATTTTTTTCGTTTCATCGATTTCGATTTATATCTGCCGTTTGTATTCGATGATGACAACGACGAGATCGATAGGGACGATAGTGAGCACATTGACGAGCGTTCTCTTTAATTAATTTCACGATTACTTTCACTCACCAACTCAACATACGATTATATAAAATAATAATATCAATAATAATGAAAATTATAAAACTAACAGCAATTCA